CGTGGTACCGGACCGAAGGCGGATCGTACGTACAGCGAGGCACTCAGCCGCCACCCGCGCAGGCGGCGGGAGACCGTCCCGAGTAGTTCCGCCCAAACGAGGGAACTTTCCCGCCGAAGCTCCGCGCCTGCAAAAGCGGTGCCTGCCGGCGCCTGCCGCCCTCTGCTCCCCGCGCCGCTCCGCTCCGAGGTAAACGCCCTGGGTCCGTGTGTCGGAGGTTGGGGGGCAGGGTGTCCGGGGTTGGAGAGGCCGAGATTTTGGGGTGCTGCTTGCACCCTGGGTAGGAAAGGGGTTCTGGGTGGGCGGGGCCGTGCATCCTCACCTTTCCTGGTACTTCACCCCTGGTGACTGAGGGGGACATCGTTTTCATTCCACCCCTAATCTAACCCCACCTCCCCTCCATATTCGAACCCACTCCTGTTCACTTTATTGACTGCGCTGAAGGGGGGAGGGGAGGGGGTCCGGGCGATGGAGTGGGTACGAGAAGGGCAGGGGAGGAGGACGGGGCCTGAACTTGTGAGCCACCTGCGCTGGACTGGACTGCTGCGCCCCCGCGGTGGACTCCCAAGCCGGGACTCTGGTGCCAGCCCTGTCGACTGAAATAAAATCACACAGCGTGAGAGTTGTGGGTTAAGTTTTATTTGGGGCAAAATGAGTACTATAACCCGGTAGACAGCATCCCAGAAAGCTCTGAGAAACTGTCCCAAAGAGGCAGGGGGAAACAGTATCATATATGATTTATGGGGGGGGGCGTGCAGTTAGGGACATGTTTGGTAGAGGCTTGCTGCTCGTCGTGAAGAGCAGATTTCTCCCTTAATGATTTTAGTGCTTTTTAGATATGAAGAGATGCAAGAATTGGGGTCTTAAAATCTTCTGAAAATATCTTAACTATCTGGAGGGCTGTTTAGCCAGTTTTCTGTGAGCACAGAGCGCCTCATTCCTGGTCTTCATCCTGAGCTCCTTTCTTCAGGACGTGTTGGAGGTCAGAGGCTGCGGTGGCTCTCGATTTAATTCAAACAGGTAGATGGCAAGTGCCAGTGTGATCGAGTCCTTGTAGAGGCAGATGGCAAGTGCCAGTTTTTAGTTAGCAGCCCCTAGTCGGGGCAAGCCGAGGTTGGAAAACGGACACCAGAAGGAACAGTCTTGAGTTTCTCATGCCAGTTTATCCGGTCCTCCAAGCGTGTTTGTCAGGAAGATGAGCATCTTTGCTGTGGTGCCCCTTTTTGCATGAGTCCCAAACTCCGAGACCTTGCAAAGGCTCTTGCTAAGGCTGCGGGCAGTGTGGGAGGGGAGTGAGGAGTCTGGAAGCCCGGGCTCAGTGGGAGTCCCGGCAGTGGGGTTGGGGCTGCTGGGCAGGTGGCTGGAGCGGGGTTGGGGCAAGTAGGCACTGCGTGGTTACTTTGTCGCCGCTGCTGTTGCTTTCACACTGTTCCCGCTCCCTCTTCTGCCCTGTTTGCACATCCTGCCTCTCAGCATGTTTCTGTTAGAAGGCTGAAAGGTGTATGTTTGATGGCTGTCAGGAGTTATTTCCAACTAAGTTCACAGGAGTGAAGCTAGAGCAGCGGTTGGCCCTTCCCCTCTCGCTGCAGGTCCCCCCCCCCAGCTCCCTCCCACCAGCAAACCTGTCCTTGAATAGATCCCAGGGTTTTCAAAGAGACAGGAAGTAAATAATACAGAGTGGGCGTCTGTGTAACTTCTTCCCCATTAAGTTACCAGGACCAAATCAAAACACTGTGGATGTTTAACAAGACCCTCCTTTAGCAGTTTTTGTAGTAGTTAAGACTGTTATTTACCAGTCTTTCTTTTTCTTCGATTTAAACCCAGACATTGCCTTAAACTCTCTATATACAATTTGATCTGTATTTGTCACTATTCCATTGGGTTTAAAGGACATGGGCTCCCTTTAGACTGACACACACACACACACACACACACACCCCAAAATACAGTGTGACAATAGTTAATATTTACCTGCCTTACTAGTTGGTGGCCTGGCACCTGCTAGTTCCAGTACATAATCATGACACCGTATGCCTGTCTACCAAATTGAGAATAAGGAGAATGTTACTGTTTTTCATGAGCAAGGTACCCTGGTCAACCAGACTTTATTATTGCTCAGATGGTTTTTAAGGGCTTCAGTTAGTGTGAATCAGATATACGGGACAAAATGACAGTTCTACCCCATGCATTCAAAAGGGATGTGATAGCCGGGCACTTGTAGTTGACTCATTATTTGAGGAAAAATTAAAACCCTCTCGTCACACAGAGATCATTTTGATGAAATGTAGTCAGAAAGAAATAGCACGCGCTGAATGCCTTGAGAAAACGGGACGCCTTTTCCTCTGGCCTCATTTGTTTTTTTATCTCCTCTATTACAGTAGCATCCTCCGGAAAATGAACCTTGCAGATAGTTGTTGGTATGTACTGACTAAGACACCATATTTTTTAATACAGAGGCTTGGTAACAGTCCAAAAACATAAATGTTTTAAATCATTACCAACCATCTGTTCTCTCCCACTCACTTAAAGTGCAATGTTTTATTTTCACAGGTGTCAAAACATACATCCTCGTTTTGTGCATCTCCATGAATATCCCCAAAGCGGGTAGTGGTGTCTGATCTTGACCCAAGTTCAGCAACTGTTGTGTTTGGCTTTTTACACTGTAGGCTCCTCTCCTTTCATTTCCAATGAAAGGAGATATCAAAAAAGTTTTCAAGCCTTTGGCCAAGGCTGGTGTATACTCCGGTGAAATCTGATTGCTTTTTTCCCCCACCTTTTTATCACCAGAGAGAAGCTGAGAATTAGTGCAGCTGCAGGCTCCTCCTGATGGCATTCTTTCCCGTTCTTCCTGGTCACAAGGGTAGCATTTGCTGCTCTGAAGCAGTGCATTAAACAGCCCCGAAAACGAGTGTGGTCTCCAGAAGAATGCAACTTCCTCCCGGGAGGAATTTACAAAATGGGAGGCCAGCTTAATATTTGAAACCCCAAATTCAGTAGACCTTAGACCTACGCATTGCTTCGCACACAAATACTGGGTGTGCTGCTGTGGGGTGTTACAGAGGATGTGAATAAAACGTCCATCTCCATAGTACTCTTGATACCTGTGTTTTGGAACCTGGATGAGTTTGTGTATAATTAGGAGAAAACCCACTCCCATCATTTTGTTCATGTCATCATTAAAGCAAGATTTGAGGTTTTGAGTCCCGCCTCCCATTCCCATCTAGAAATGCTTTCCCTTTTAGGGACGTTTGCTAGAGCTGGAACTTCAATGTCAGGATATTTTTATCACTCAAAGTTAAGTTGCATAATAAAAACAGTGTTCGGTTAGTGTGGCCAGAACGTTAGGAAGTTCTTTTTACTCAAATCAGGGTGTAATGTCCCAAAGCATTTTCATGTATTTAAGGAGAAAGCAGTCGGCCGTCTTGCTCACACTGTGCGAATAATTGATTGTACTTGAAGAATATCGAGAACCAAAGGCAGATGGGGCTTCTGCCTTCTTACCTGCTCCACCGCTCTCTTCTCTCCTTGCCCTGAACTCAGAAGTCTCCCTGCTTACTGCCAGGATAGCAGTGAAAGGAAGGAACCCAAGCTATAGATCACTGTGAAAGTAAAGTTGCATTTAAAAATGTCTAATTTAAACCTTTGGAAAAACATAAGGATGTGTTAGACATCTTATTTTTCTGTGTGCTAAAAATGAATTATTGAGGGGAGACCATTTCATTGTGTGGAATAAGCACTCTGAATTATTCATGTTAATGAGAGGAAGAGAGGCAAAGATAATCCAAAATCATGGTTATTTAAAAAGTCATTTGTGTTTGTCTTGGAGTGTATTACATGTTTGAGCTGAAAAAGATTCTCATTGCTGTTGCGGGCATGTTGCCTTTCTAATTATTTTGTTTTGTTTAGGTTAGGTTTTAAATGCGCTTACATGTCACAAACAGCAAAACCGATTTATGGGGAGATGGGGCTTGTGGGCAGCCTGCCCAGAAACGAGCTGGGTGACAGAAATGAGCAAACCTGTGTGACAACTTTGCAGTAAATTATATATTACTCATGGAGAGATGGTCGAGACTTGATTGTATGCTTCCTTAATGAATTTGTGTTAAGGATTAGCTGTGTTCTTGGGGGAAAAAAATTCTTCAGTCAAAATTGGAGAAATTCAGTCCCACTTTATCTGTCACGGAGGTGATTAATGTGTTTTTAGTAGATGATAGTGGGGTGCTCCTGAAAACCAAATATGAATATTCTATTATTTAAATCTTACAAAACTGATTTTTTTTTAAGTGTTAGGTTCTCTTAAAGCACACCCGTGTGGATGGCTAAGGTGATGTTCCCGAGCCTTATGTATATGTGTGTGTCCCAGAAGCAGAAACAGCCAGCCTCCATCAGAATAAGGGGTTTGGTCCGTTTGATTGTTGCACCTGTGCCCCAAATCAAACTTTTATCAAAAAGCAGCTCTCAAGTATCTATCATTACTGGGGACCTGGTTAGATAAAATAGTTGAAGTTCAGCAAGGCTGCCAATTTAACAGGTTTCTATTGTGTTCTTCAGAAGCTCCAGGGCAGAATTGGTTGTGGATGAACTAGTTACTCGGACCTGAAGTCGATTCACACCAAAGCGCTTGCTCTTAAAAACACCTTTTCTGTGGTCGCTGTTCAGTTGTATATAGATTTTGTCGAATTGTTATTTCTGTGGACTGTTAGAATTTAGAAAACCCCTACAAAGAAGTTAGAGCTGCCAAAAATGTGTGATTGGAAAAGCAGATAGATAAGATCATTTTTATTTCAAGAATTCAAAGAAAACATAAAACTGTGACTTTTACAGCAGTGAGCGGAATGGGACTAGAAAAGTTGGTGTCCCCTTCAGATTGGTGACTGTTCCCATAATAAATGTGCTTGCTCCATAATGTGTAGAGTTACTTCTTTCTTGAGGGAACATTTTTGTTTTTTATAAGGCATGGCATTTTTTAAAGCCTTGACTAGACCGAGTACTTTAAAAATATATATATTGTGGTGGGAAATCTAACTGAGACCCACAGGATATATTTTATATACATTTATTAAGGGAATCAGGTTCTTCTGATCAGTGCCCTCAGTCTTAGAATCAAAATTATGCATTTTGTTATGGAGCTGGAAAGGACCTGAAAGGTACTTTATTTCAGTGCTCTTACTTTATAGTTAAGGAAATGG